TCGCTTTTTGAGGATTTCTAACAGCACTGTATTTTCTCATAAAAGAAAATACAATTTTATTTAACAGGACTATTTTCTTTTTTTAAAAGAAAAAAATTTTCTCACATAAAGCATATTCTTTTATGTTCTTTAAAACTTCAGTATAAAATTATTTTAGAACAAATTCAGCTTAATTTTATAATCTGTCACATCATAAGGAATGCTATATTAAAAAAAACTTTTTGATTAGCAGTCCAACGTACTACACAGTCTGCTACCAGAGAAAGTTATATGTAATGATTTCTGCTATTATTTTTTTGTTTGAATGCAATTATCGAACAATATCATTAATATCACATGCAAGCAAGATTCTGCTGAAAATGATCTAAAAATGTTTGGAGCAATATGTCAACAGAGAACTGCCAGATGTACGGGCTGGATTTAGAAGAGGTCGTGGTACTAGGGATATTATAGCTAACGTTAGATGGATCTTGGCAGAAAGCAAAGAATACCAGGATAATGTTTATCTGTGCTTCATTGACTACGCAAAGGCTTTTGGCTGTGTGGATCACAAGAAGCTGTGGCTGACTCTGAGAAGAATGGGAATCCCAGAACATTTGATTGTGCTAATGCAAAACCTGTACTTGGACCAAGAGGCAGTTGTCAGAACAGAGCAAGGAGACACTACATGGTTCAAAAATCAAGAAGGAGGTCCACCAGGGATGTATTCTGTCTCCATACCTTTTCAATCTGTATGCAGAACAGATCATCTGAGATGCTGGGCTGTATGAGGAGAAATGTGGTATCAGGATTGGTGGAAGAGTCATCAACAACCTGCTTTATGCTTATGACACAACCCTGCTTGCTGAAACTAAGGAGGACCTGAAGCGCTTACTTCAGAAAGTCAAAGACTGCAGCCTCAAATATGAATTGAATCTCCAAGTCAAGAAAACAAAGATTCACCACTGGGCTGGTTGGCAGCATTGTGGTAGGTGGTGAAAAGATTGAGATTGTTAACAGCTTTATTTGCTTGGCTCCACAATCAACTCTTGGTACCAGCAGCCTCGAAATAATAAAAAAAAAAAATTGGGAAAGTCTGCTATCAGGGACGTCTCTAGAGTATTGAAGTGCAATAATATCAGTCTGGAGATTAAGGTGAGCCTGATCCATGCCATGGTCTTCAGATTACTTGCTGTGCATCAGAAAGCCGGACAATGACTAAGGATGATAGAAGGAGAATTGGTGCCTTTGAGCTATAGTGCTGGAGAAGAGTATTGAATATAACATGGACCACAAGAACTATAAACAGGTTCATCATAAAGAGGGTGAGACTAAGCTTCTCCTTAGAGGCAAGGACTCTGAAATTTTGTTTGACATAGCTTGGGCATTTTGCAAGGAGGGAGCAGTCCTTGGAGAGTGACATCATGCTAGGGAGGGTGGAGGGACAGCGCAAGAGGAGAAGACCTTGATGAGATGGATTGATTCATTGACTGGGGTAATGGGACTAAGTGTGTCAGAGACTGTAAGGTTTGTTCAGAATAGAGCAGGGTTCAGTGCTGTTGTACATAGGGTCGCTATGAGTTGCAAGTGACTCGATGGTACATAACAACAAGGTAGTGAGAGGGAGCTTTGGTGGCCTAGTGGTAAGAAACTGCACTGTAATCCCAAAAGCATGTAGTTAGAATCTGCCAGCTGCTCTGGGGGAGAAGGATGGGCAGTCTCCTTCCATGCAATTAACTGCCTCTGAAAACCCACCAGAGGGTCAGCTATGGGTCGGTTTTGTCTCAATGGTACACAACAACAACAGTCAAGAGGTCCCTAAGCTTATTTATGTTATTGTGTACCATAGAGTCGGTTCTAACTCGATGATATTCAAAACAAGGTAGTGAGTGAGCTTGGGTAGCCTAGTGGTAAGAAGTTACACTGCCAACTTAAAGGCAGCTGTTCAAACTTAACCAGCAGCTCCTCTGAAGAAAGATGGGCAGTCTTCTCTGAAAACACACAGGAGGGTCAGGTATGAGTCATCTCCAGCTTGACTACAACTAACAACGCGACAAGAGAATAAGAAGCTTTAAGTTCTTATATTCTTTATTCTTTTACATAAGTTGTTTTCTCTGTATCCTAACTGGGTTAAAGACAAGCTAGTCTGGCAATCTTAAAATCTAAGGAACTTCTCTTTCTCCTTCCTCCTTCTTTTCATATCCAGCTTTGTTATCCTGAGATGGGCTTCCTTTTTATCTACAAAGAAGGAAACTGAAGACAGAAGAAACTAGTCTACAGGATAGTCTACTTTGAGGCCAGAAGAACTAGATGGTGCCTAGTGACCACTATTGACTGTTGTAATTAGGACCACAGTAGATAGAGTGAGAGGATAATGAGCATCAAAACCTCAGATTCCTGTAAAACAGAGACTGAAAGCTGACTAGACCAACTGGACTGGCTGAGACTGCAGGACTCCCTGAAACTATTGTTCAGATAATATTCTTGAAACTTATACCAAAACCTGTCCCTGGGGTCACTTAGTAGCTAAATAACAGATTGGCTTAAGAAGAATGAGTATTGCTTAACAATCATCACATACATGAGATCACCCATTCAACAATTACTTTAAAACAAAAATGACAACGTAAGGAGACAGGGAAACTAGATTAATGGAATTGGAACAACCGAAAGGGAAATAATGAGAATGTTCACACTGTCAAGAATGCAACCAATATCACTAAGCAACTTGTGTAGAAACTGAACTGACACATAGCTGACCCTCCAGGGGGCTTTCAGAGGCAGTAAATTGCATGGGAGGAGATTGCCCTTTTTTCTTCTTTGGAACGGCTGGTGGATTTGAACCACTTGCCTTAGGGATTGCAGGGCAGCTTTGTGATGCTAGCCTGACAAAGCTTGAAAACACAAGTAAGTTATTAAAGCAGTAAACCACAACTTAAATATATTGTCTTACCCATATGCAAACAGGTATTACTAAAAATACATATATACATGTGGTAGTTGAGGAAAAAATAACCAGTCTTTTAAGTAATTCTTGGTTATTTTGGAGATCATAATTTGACAATGAGAGCATTTTGCTGTTAAACTTTAGTAAGGAAAAGGAAAATACGGGAACAAGTATAGAATTAATGAAATAAGAGCTATTTGGTTTTGAATACGTATAATTTAAAGAACTGTCTACCACCTCTTTCTGTAGATGTTAATGAAAAACTTTTAAAAATAACTTGTGGTTACTTAACATTATTAAATAAAATAGCACTGAATACCATTTTTTCAAAGCAGTTGTTTCGTGTGTATTTCTGACCAGCTCCAAATCCTCGCTTTCCAAAGGCAGCCTGTTGTGTGGGTACTACTGTTAATGAAGAGGTGCATGGAGTCCCAGACTTACAGCCCATTTATATTGTGATGTACTCTTCTTATAACCTCCTATATTATTATTTACACCTTGTCATTAGTAATGTGTACTGTATATAACCTTGCAGCATGTAAGTTGCTGCTGGTGTCATTCTCATGCCAACTCCAAGACACAAAGACAACATTTATAAAGATACTGATAATACAAGATAATAATTTAAAAGGAAATTTTTCATGAGGTATTTGAGGGATGTTAGAACCAGCTTAGGGAATTGTTGCAGCAGTAGCCCGTCATAAATTGAGTACTACCCATACTGCTTTCCTGCATTGCCTTGACTTTTTGGAAGGGGAAGTAGTGTGAATAAAAGACCAGGGCTGGACAAATGGTCTTGGCAGGGATAATAGAGACACTAATTTGGATCTGTAATCCTTCAGTGTTCAGATTTAATTTTTGTTGTTTACTTGCATAATATATTTCCCCCTTGTTATTAGTTAAATTTAAGTAAAATGTTTTGACTCTTGAGTATGAAAAATGGTTTTCTTCTGTTTATAATTTACTCCTTCTTCATGTCCCCCTAATATTTGTGCTTTCTACTCCCTTTTTACAATATTCTTTTTTTTAAAATATTTTTTTTATTGGGAAAAACATATTGGGGGTACAAGGAGGTGAGGGTTGGGGGCAGAAGGGTGA